ATATACTTTAATGTGGTTTTTTTTCTTATATTTTTTGTAAGCCGCACGGAGTCCTTCGGGATTGGGCGGCATATAAATATACTTAATAAATAAATAATAAATAAATAATAAATAAATAGATCTGGAATAGTAAGTATCTTAAATATTCCTAAAACCACATTAAAGTATATGGCAACATTTTTTTTTTTAAAGGAACAAAAAAATTTCTCTTTACATTTGAAGTTTGCTAGAGAGAACTGAAAGCAAACTTTTTTTTCCAAAAGAAAAGGCAAAGAAATGTAATCTGATTTCAAATTTCTCTTTTTTTCTTTAGTAAAATATAGCCACAGAAAAAGAGTTAATTTGGATCAGTGACATATTGTTTCAGTTTATTCATTTATTATTACTTGCAGAATAAAGCAGAAAAAAATTAAATATGGATTCTTCCCTGCTCCCACCCTCCTTGGGAACTAATTATAGCATCAATACAGGATTGGAAGAGGGTTTTAAATTAAGTAAAGAAAACAGTGACTCTTATTACCCCTTCAGTAATAATTTAAATTTCTCTGCCTAGACTAGTTTTAATCAACTATCAAAAAGCCTAGTTGTAAACCATATTCCTCAAAATATTGGGGCTGGTGGTTAGAAAACCAAACTGTCTTCTTGAGTGAAATAGAAATAGAAAGTTTCCTTATTTCTTTTACTTCTTGACTTGCTTGCTCCCATGTTCTTTTCTTCCAGTGAAACAGTCAGCCTTGTTAATTCTCAGTGAAGGGATGGATTTCCAAGCAGTTTGGAGAGATTCTGTCTTTCCACAGGCAAGCACAGCGGGTTATTACATAGAGGATTCAGCCAGTCAGTCCTGACACACATATGAATAGCAATAGTGCTTAGAATTATATACTGCTTCACAATGCTTTACAGCCCTCCCTAAGCAGTTTACAGAGACAGCATATTGCCCCAAACAATCTGGGTCCTCATTTTACATACCTCGGAAGGATGGAAGGCTCAGTCAACGTTGAGCTGGTCAGGATCGAACTCCTGGCAGTTGGCAGAATTAGCCTCCAATACTATATTCTAACCCCTGTGCCTCACATAACCTTTTTTTCTTTTTGCCTAGAATAGGCAGCCAGAAAATAAATTTCAGTTAAGTGTATTGTCCTCTGAGTATTTTAAGGCATCTGTTTTAGAACATGTAACGCAAGTATATTGTTCCTGAAAATACAGGTAGCCCTTATTTAGCAATTGTTTGCAGCTATGACAGTGATGAAAAAGTAACTTTGCAAGCAATCCTCACATTTACAGTCTTTGTAGGTCTGTAAAGCAAAGGATAACTGAAGTAAGATAATAAGCATAGTCATGGTTACTGGTTGCTTTGCTCAAGACAATTACAATTAGGTAGTTGTTGTTTAACAACCACAATTGGGACCAGCAATTGTCTTCTTGTTAAAAATTAAGTTATTTTTTCCTCATCTTCCTCTGGATAAATGGCATGTCACTGTCTATTATGGTAAACATGAATATACAATGGGCAGTAATATAGTCCATGTATATATGAATTATATATATATATGATAGTTTTATGATTACATGTATATGTGTATGTATATTTATGTAACTTTACATATATATGTAATATTTAAAAAAAACATTTTTAAATTTCTCTCCCCTTCCTCCTTCCTTCCTTTCTTGCTTCCTTGCTTCCTTGCTTCCTTCCTTCCTCCCTCCCTCCCTCCCTCTCTCCCTTCTGCTATCCTGAAATATTTGTGTTATGCATTCTCTGTTTGTATGATTAATATAACTAAACTTTCAATTGAATTTTCTGCTTATATTTACCTCAAAAATAAATTTACATTTATATCTTGCTCCTTTGTCTTTCAGAATATAAAATTGAATTTTACTATTGTTGACATTTGTTTTCCCGTTGTAATCCTATAATAATTATTTTTGTATTTATATTCCACTTTTATGTTTTTACAACTCCAGATAGTATATATAATGCCTCTACCTCCTGTTTTTGCCACAATAATAAGGTGAAAGATGTGAAGTAGATTGGGGAGAGTGAGAGAGTGAGAGAAAGAAGGCTAACACTCATAGTTTCCCAATTTCTAGTCCAATATTTTAACCATTATACAAAATATGTGCATATAGCATGCTATTTTTGGTTTGTGTTCAGAACTATATAGTACAACAGAGGTCGGTTGTTCCCATTTCAGCCCACATCGGGCGAACCAGTAGTGGCAGTGGCAGTGGTGGGAGGTTCTGCCCACTCACCTGGACGCTTCTGCACATGCACAGAAGCATTGTGCACGAGTGCACAAATGAACCAGTAGTAAAAAAAAATGGAAACCCACCACTGCTACACAAGGTTGGACCTTCTATTGAACAGGAGATCAATGGAGTCTGTAAAATAGAATCAGAAATGTTGCCAGAAAAGTCAATGGTAGGCCACTTGTATAATGGCACCAAAAAAGCTTCATACTTGTGTCCATTTAAATCCCATCTTGATAATATCTAATCAAAATAGAGAGGTATATTATATTTGTACATTTGTGTGTACAAAATGAATCAGCTCATTTGTCTAATTTCAATATAATTTTTAGTGCCAGTTAATATCGAAGTCTTCTGTAATATTGATCTTATTTACTTAGGAAATAAATACCTTTTTATTGAGGCTGTTGAGTAGAAGCGTTTCACAATAGCCTTCTCATATGGCATTTTAGTTTTCCCTTTATATCCTGTTTTTCTTTTTTGCATGATCTTAATGTGGATTTCTGAATTATCTCATAATCTTTGTTTAATACAATGAAATGTTGATATTACTTCTGAAAAATAGATAATCAGAATTAATGCCAGTCTGACTAATCTTTTGGTTTGTAAATTTAAATCACACATGTCCCAAAAGATTCGTTTTGGAATTCATGAAGCAGTTCTTCCCTTTTTTTAAATGTATACTTGCAACCAAAATCTAACAGTGCAATAGAGGAATTAATTGCAAAGTCTTTGCAAAGCTAAGTCTTATATCTTGTGATCCCTTGTAACTTTTGGAGTTTATTAAGTATATAGTTTACAGAATAGCTTTTTTTTCAAAAGCCAAATTAAATGTGTTTTCATCAAATATTCAGTATGGTAGATTTTTTAAAAAAAATTCAAAGTTTTCCCCCCTTTATTGGTATTGTTCTTGAATGGTGGGTCATATATTTTATTCTATTGTAAATTTTATAAGTCTTCAGCAAGTTGTTACATATTTTTAAATCAAACCCAGAAATAAACCGGAGATACTTTTGAGTATGTTACAATACATAGATAGCAGCCAGATGTTTAACTATGGGTGTAAAAATATGGTCTTTAGTAACACATTAATTTTATTCAAGAGTTTGAAGTGTTTTCTGTAATATTTAAGAAATATTATATTAGATAAATTGTTTTATCTAACACAAACTTCATATTTGTAACTTGCTATTGGGCCTTTTTGTCTATAATAAATTGAAACTGAAACTGATTATGGATTTTCTCTCCACTCCTCCCCCCACCACGGGCATTTTATTCCCACAATACCCATAATCTGAATCAGGCTGCCAGATTTTGACTGAGGATTCAGTAAGATGATGATCAAATGGCTTAAACTGAGCACTCCAACAAATGTAAAATATGATTGCAAAATACAAGTGGCTCCCAGTTAAACTAACAAAATAGACTTCAAGGGAGCCTATGTATGTATGTATGACATTATTTTATATTAATTAACAGTAAACACTTTTTAAAAAATCAGTTTATTTTTCAATTTTGGAAACTTTTTTGTTTTAAAAGCAGACTTACAGTTTGTGAAATTTCATTAATTATGTGGAATCAACTGGTAATAAATGGAAGCGGAAAATATTTTAAATCAATACATCAATCAAACTGTGTTAACTTTACTAAAGAGAGAACTAGCATAGTTTTCATTATTTACTATATACAGTACTATAGTAGTATAAGTACTATATACCGAAGGTATATAGAGCCGAGGTGGCGCAGTGGTTAGAGTGCAGCACTGCAGGCTACTTCAGCTGACTGTTAGCTGCAGTTCGGCCGTTCAAATCTCANGTCAAATTGGGTAGTGGGCATGTATTCAGTCAAATTGGGTAGGGGGCATGTATTCAGTCAAATTGGGTAGGGGGCATGTATTCAGTCAAATTGGGGGGGATTCAGTCAAATTGGGTAGGGGGGATCTCCTGAATCAAGAGAAATGGGTGGTCTCTTCAAATCCCCTCCGCCGGCAGGGAACCAAATTATCTCTACCTGCCCAAACCTGTTTTAAACCTGGAACAACACAGTAGGAAAAAACCTTAATTTTCCACTAGCCGGAAAGTGTCTCGTCTGGTCCTTTCACACACACCCACACCCTGCAGCTGAGGCAGGGGAAGGCGTGGCTTGTCCTGAGGACTAGAAACTTGAGGGGGAAAGGGACGCCTCTCTCTCTCTCTCTCTCTCTTTTCTCTTGCCCTCCCCACTCACTGTTGATGCCTTCCGTGCTGGTGATGTTGCCGCTGCAGATGGCATCGTAATATTGCTTGTTGCTCATCAGGGTGTACATGCCCAGGATGGCTGCAAAGGAAAACGGAAGGATCCGGGTTCAAAGGAAAAAATAAATAAATAACCAGGTTTGCTGCAAAAAAACCCAGGTTATTTCCTGGCTGGGCTCAGTTTCTAAAGTTGAGCGAGTGAGAGGGGTGGGGTGGGGGGGAGCTGGCAGAGCGCCGGGCAGGGGCTAAAAGGAGAAACTCCTGCTGCCCTATTCGGCTTCCACCTGTCGCGGGAATGACTGGATGCAGGGAAGGCCGCTGACCCATTCCCCCCCTCCCCATTTCCCTGCCACTGGCTGGGCCCCTCCTCTGCCCCGTGCGGAGGGATGGGTCCCCTGCAGGATTTGCACCCCAAAAGTCAAAGCTTTTCCCCCCTGTGCATTGACCCAAAGGAGGGGCTGGGCCCTCGCCTGCAACAGTGGCAGCAGAGGGCGATTCCCAGCCAAACTGCCCCTGGATAGGGAGGCTCCACGGGGGGCCTTGGAGGCAGCTCGCTCTTGGGCCCCTCCTCACCTGCGATGTCGCACATCTCGGCGTCGGTGGCGTTGGCCAAAGCTTCCTCCAGCTCCGGCTCCAGGATGACGTCTTCCTCTTTGATGACTTCTTTCTTGGCAACTTTTGGGACGAAGGGCTTCCCTGGGGAGGGAGAGAAAGGAGGAGGAGGAGGCAAAGGAATCGAAGCCGGAGGGGGTGCAGAGGGGGACTCACGCGGGGTTCCAACAGGCAGCCTCCTTTATAAGCAACTTCGGCTCTCAAAATCCCTTCCTTCTTCCCTCCCTCCCTCTATCCTTTCCTTCCTTCCTTTCTTCTTTCCCTCCCTCTATCCTTTCCTTCCTTCTTCCATCCCTCTATCCTTTCCTTCCTTCCTTCTTTCCCTCCCTCCCCCTTCCTTCCTCCCCCTCCCTCCTTATTCCTTCTATCCTTCCTTCTTTACTTCCCTCCTCCTTTCCTTTCTCCCCCCTTCCCTCCCTCCCCCTTCCTTCCTCCTTTACCTCCCTCCCTCCTTATTCCTTCCTCCTTTACCTCCCTCCCTCCCCTTTCCTTCCTTCCTTCCTTCCTCCTCCTCCCTCCCTATTCCTTCCTTCCTTCTTTACTTCCCTCCTCCTTTCCTTTCTCCCCCCTTCCCTCCCTCCCCCTTCCTTTCTCCCCCCTTCCCTCCCTCCCCCTTCCTTCCTCC